TTTTCTTATTCTGTCAACGCCATATAGACATGCATAATATCAGAACACGATACGCACATATTTGAGATTTTTCACTATATTTTTTGTCTTTTTTCTCTTCTTTTTCCCATGATCAAGAAGTGCCACACATAAAAGAACAACAAAAAAACTGTGTTGGTGTATGTATGTTCTATTACTAACCAGTAGCAAGATAAACTTTTTCTTTTTTCAAAAAAGGTTTATTATATACTCATAGTTTTGTACACACATTTCTTTTGCTTCTCCTCTGTTTTATTATGATATTTTGAAAAGACTAAACGTAGTGAAGTAAAAGTAATATAATAAAGAAGTAATAGATCTTTCTTGTTTTAGAACAAACTACCTTCGCGATCATGCATCAGTACGATAGAATTGTCGAAGATGATTACCATAATGTATCAACTTCTACATATAAATCACAAATCGGGCCACGAACAACAAATGTTCAACGACCAAGAAACATGGCTGCCAATTCGGGCGTCATGACACGAATATTTCAGTCGTATTCTTCGCATGGCAGCGGTGCTGGAGTAGGTGGTTTCGGTGGCGGACTGGCAGGCTTAGCTGGTATTGGTGGTTCGTCCGGGATACCGATGAGACCGGGACGCGGCGGATCGGCATTGGTTGGCGTCAATGAAACACGTGTACGCGAAAAGCGCGACTTAGAACAACTGAATGATAAATTTGCTCAATACTTGGAGAAAGTTCGATTTTTGGAAGCACAAAATCGGAAACTACAATTGGAACTCGAAGCCATCCAAAGTCGAGCTGGACAAGGCTCATCAAAAATCAAAGAAATGTATGAAATTGAAATGAATCAAGCGAGAAATCTCATCGACGATACAGGAAGGGATCGTGCAGCAGCCGAAGTCAAAGCACAGAAAGCAGAACAAGAAGCTGGACGGTATAGACAGCGATATGATGAAGTTGTGAACTTACGAAACACCGATCGATCAAATGTTGATCGTCTCCAACAACAAATCGCTGAGAACGAAGCAGTACGTATATCTCTGCTTTCGACTCTTAGTCTACTCTTCGCTTTTCTTCTATAGCAAATCAATTTATTTCGTCGTCGATTAGGCGACTTGGATGATGAAGCTAGACGGTATAAGGCTGAAGCACAGCGTCTAACGTCAGAAATAGCTCGTCTACAAAACGATATTCAGAATGAAACATTTCTGAAATCAACGTTGGATACAGAAAAACTGGCACTTGAAGATGAACTGACAATGTTGAAACAAATGCGTAAGTCTCATCGAGTAGACGTGTAAAGGTCACATAGGGATGAGTCAATGCGAGAGTAGAAGCGTTACTTGATACTTTTTGTTTAGACGAATCCGATCTGAATGAATTACGCTCTAGGACCGTTGTCGATGTTAGTCTCGATCCATCACACTTTTTCCGTAATGAATTAGCTCAAGCGATTCGCGATATACGTAATGAATATGAAGCAGCTAATGATCAACGACGATCAGAACTACATAATCGTTACATGGTGTCTTACAACGAGATAGTCTCGCGCTATACACCACGACAAGAACTCGACCCAATCAGACATGAACATACACGAATTCAAGAAGAAAAACTACGCACACAGTTGTTACAAACAAAAAATGAAATGGGCTACATGAGAGCGAAAAATGAAGATTTGAAAAATCGAATAAAAGAAATACAATTGTACATCGACCAAGAACGAGATGGCGGTACAGAGAACTGACAAAATGAAGAGAAGAACGTGAGACTGATATACATTGTTTGCTTTAGGTGGACGACATCTTCAGAAAAATGCGGCTGATATTGAAGAACTGAGACGTCGATTAGAACAATTGACGCGCGAATATGAAGAAGTGACAACAATGAAAACGTCGTTAGAAAAAGAAATCGGTACCTACCGACAGTTATTAGAAGGCAATGACGGTCTCCGTCCAATTGTCGATCATGTTCTGGAAGAAGCGAGACGAATGGAAACCGAAAGAATGTCTAGAGCAAGTGAGAGTAGTGGATATCTAGGTTATGGCGGTGGAGGTGGTGCGAGAGGTGGTAGTACAACGATTCAACTCACACACATGAGCACTAGTGGATCTGGAGCGAGTTCGAGCTACGGAGGATTGGGTGGTATGCTATCCGGAGGTGTTCGACCATCTACGAACGCTTACAGCACGTTGAGCAGCGGTTTCGGAACGGGAAGAAGCGGTGAAGGTGCAGGTGCAACCGGATCAGCAAGATCCAGTTATTCGACGACGTCGAGTGTTCGTCAATATTCATCTGGTCAAGGTCAATATTGATGAAAGTTATTTCAGTTTAGTGTTTTTTATATATTTTACTCTACTCAGTTATGGATCTGCTTTCTCTTTTACTTGATACTTTAATATGTTTGTTGACAAAGTAAAGTATTTGTTGACAGTTGTTAGTCTCATCGATAAAATGACATTCAAACTCGACGTTCGACGAATGTGGAAACAGTTTTCTCAATATATTGTTTTGTGATTCTAAGAGCTTTCATACATTCTAAATTTCGTTTTTCTCAAG